AGGCTAAAGATAGCACCAGGATTTATTATTTATACCAATTGATGCGATGAACATGACTGACCATTTCCATGTGTGGCAGCCCATGAGGAACTGCTTGCTCAGTACTTGGCCCAGGAATGCTCAACCCAGACATAGACACACTTGAGCTGGCCTTCAAGTTACCAGTATCAGCAGTATAATAATTTGGAAGAATGGACATACCTCAGCCATGATTCCCAAGTCTTTGCATTTTGGAAGTGACATCCTTGCTTTCTTCGGCAATGGCTGATGCAGAGGATCCGGAGTAGAGATATAATCCCTGGATGCACCCAGAGATTTTTTGACCACCTCACACTTGGAACAATGTGATTTGAGGGCTTTTGCAGTGGGATACCCATGTCCCATGATGTTTTTGGGACATCCCTTGATACAATAATGAGCCATGACTGTGAAGATGACAAAGAGGCTTAGAGCAAAGAATTTGAGCATGCCCAAAAAGGATGGCTTTCAGCTTATCACCAATTTTGCAATGACGGTCAGGATGGAATGGAGTTGATTAAGTGTGTTTCAAGCAAATACAATGGCAGCCAGATATTGAGTTAAAATTTCTCAGAATAGTTAGACTCCATGTGCTCAGCGCCCAAAACCTGCGTAAAGCATGACTTCGTTTATTTGTTTCTTTCACCACAACCACATACCATCATGACCTCTTGAAGCCCAGCCTCTTCCTCTTCTGTGGGTCGGGGCAGGTAGCAGACTCATGGTTCCTCTAGCTTGCTCCCATCCGAGCCACCTTGTGATACTAGTCCTGTCTTTGAAGACAATAAAGGACTAATCCTTGCTCTCAAATGCAAGATTGAGGGATTAGAAGAAAATGAACGACTAAAGGGTAACAAAAACACCAGACCAAAGTAAGTGAATCCCTTCCCAAAAACAAGTTTGACTACAGCCTAACTCAGGAGCACTAAGTTCTTTGGGTGCCCAATCCGGAAAGTAGCTACACTGTTTTCATCAGTCAATAGTTTAGTGCAGGAGTATGAACGTCGCTGCGACCTGGACTCACAAGCTGAGGATGAAGAGCTGAATGATGTGGACACCATGCTGCTGAACAAAGTTGAGCGCGAAGAATACAAAAAATGTTTGGAGCTGAAATGGAGGTGAGTCATTTTGTTTTCAGCATAACATTGCATTGACATGTCATAGCCGTGACAGAAACTACGAAAGCTTTCGGTTGATGTGTCAGTATGTACCTTATATCAAGAAGAAGGTTTTCTCAAGGGATATAAACCTCGCAGAGCTTCAAGCGGAGTATACAGCAGTAGGTGATGGACATTAAGATGGAAGAAGACTTGCTAACTAATCTTTCCAGCTTGAGCTTGGCGCGAACTCTGCGCGGTCGGAAGATATTCATAATGGCACAGAGGAGTTGGCTGACTGGCTAAATCAATGAGAACCTAGTCCACAGCCAGCAATAGACCGTCGCTCCTGCGTGGGGTGAGGCTTCATACATGTCCTGACTGGCCACTTACTCTGTCCAATTGACTTCAATTGGGATGACTTCATGTGAGTTTCTTTTATTCATCTCTTCACCTGTCTACATTTTTTGCCCAGAATCTGCAATGAAATCCGTGCTGTAGGAAGGCGCTCTGTTTTTCATGACTCTACCGGCCCCTTCTTTCTCTCTTTCATGTATCACAATGAAGTGGGTGATACTGCAAGCCCACTAAAAGGATGGCTTCAAAGGCCGCTGCTGGTCAAGGTGCGCACTCTGCTTCTATATTTGACTCTTCTCATTTTGTGTAATGTAGATGGTTGTCTTCTTGTTCAGGTCAGTGAGCTCTGTAGGAAAGGAAGTCATCAACAACGAAATCATCAATCAGCCAAGTGATGAAGAAAATGTTAATCCACAACCACTCCTAGGCACTGCTGGCCGCTCCCAAAAGCAACGCAAATCGACAAAAAAAAAAGCAGTATCTCAACTTTAGGGCCTCACATCTGTCAATCCTCGCATGATAGCCTACGCCGCAACCTGGGTATGTCTTTTCCTGGTGCTTTTCACTCATGTTAAACACATCTTTAAGCTTCGTTTCATCTTGTCAGATGCCCCCACTTGGGGAGCTGATGACTCCTTCCCGTATGAATCTTTTTACAATGCGATTGTGGATTTCTTTGAGGATGTGGAGGCCGGATCAGAAGATGAGCACCGTAACAAGAGACTGCTCGAATGGTGGACTAGGTGCGTCTTTGACATCCAATCTTTTGCCAGTCATTATCAATTTGCCCTTAGAGCTTTTTTTGACGAAGCAGATACTACCTCGTCCAAGGTTCCACTCAAGGACTTCAAAAACACCATCAAAACTCTCCGAGCTGCCCAGCATGCACGACACGAAGCTGCCAAAGCTTCCCGTGCAAGTGTCGCAGGCTCAGGTTCTGTAAACATTCAATCCTCTGCTACGACCTAATTTGATACGTGTATTTGCTGTATCCTATACCTCATCCAATATAAATATATCCTTTCTGCCATTTTTCAAAACGAACACATTGAGAATAGCATTTGAAAGCCAAAGAATCTATTTTACCAGAAAGGTGGGAAGGAACAACTCATTTTTTATCTTCTAGTGACGAACACGGAAAGCAGCTGCTTGAAGCAAGGAAGTATCTTTCTATCAAATTTTCAGCGGATAGCATACTGATACATGGTGTTAAAAAGGAGGACGATTGGTTCAATGTGCGAGGCTGGTTGATTGACTGTACCAGTTGACAATCAGATAGAATGATGGAATTAAAAGGACGTATGTGGCAATGTCATTTCATGCATGGTCAGTTTATACAATTTTTCTATATACATGATATACATGGTGCGGGATGACAATGCAGTCTACCCGTTGCTAACGTTTTCCCAATACCCCAACGATTTAGTGATGACGATCGGACGGGCACAGTCAATTTGTAATTAATAATCGAATCCAAGACATTAAAATTTAAAGGATTTGGAACACGAACATGATCATGAAGGCGAGACGAGTCCAGAACATGAAAGGGACCTTGGTTACTCCGGAGGAGCAGTCGGGGACGACGTATGCGTCTCCCCTAGTATCCTACCTCTAATAAAATCAAATGTGCAAGGTAAGTTCTGCAACCTCCCACTGAACTGCCACTGAGGCTCGAGGAATGATTATAGACTCAAGTGGTCGACTACGTCTGCTGCTGAGGAGCACTTGAGGTCAACATTACTCTTTTCTGAGCATCTTTTTACGTCCCAACCTACGATTCAAACGTTTTCCTTGTCTTGACAACCTATCAATCAGTTCTTGGTAAATCCAGACCCAGTGCTTTACATAGCCTGTCCCTGTGTACAACTGCGTACCGAGTCGCAAAAGATAGGATCTGGTACTCCGCCGTCGGTAGGTCACAAAACCATGCGCCCAACTAAAAAACAAAGGTAAAAATACAACGCACGTTCATGATAGTTCGTAAAACCTATGCCATGGCATACGAGGTATGCAGGAACGCTTGAAGACGTATACAGCCTCATTCAGGGTATTTAAAAAAAAGGTAAGAGGACTATTCCGCAAGCCAATTTTTACCCAACCGCCTGGTGCGCTATCGACACTATCGCCATATTCGTTCCAAAGGCTACGCCTGGCTACTGGTCTCTAGACGAGCCAAAAAATTCATAACTGTCGATACCTTCAACATTCAGGAGAATGGTCATGCCTCTCAAACTCTCATCGTGCATCAAGCTCGTTTTGGCCTACGCCGTCATTGTCTCGACCATTTCGACGACCCGTCCCGGCGGGCTGGTCCCTGTAGGGGCCTCTCCCGTGACCCTTCGCCTCTTCGGTGACACAACACAAAACCTCAGAAATGATGATAATATCAACGTCAGCTCTGGCGCGGTGCACAAGCTCGCAGAACGCTCTACAAGGCTTATCCTTTTAGGATACACATATTTGCCTCGTGTGATTTTCTCTTGCTCTATATTTGTTGCCAACAAAAGAGCTGACCATTCCTTTTTATCTTGTTACTAGGATGTCGGCTACGTCAACAATGGGGTGCTTACGTCGGGCGCAGTGTCGAATGGACCACTCGGGAACGTGGTTTATCTATCACCACAACTATGTAAATTTGTGAGACCGCCACCGCAAAATTACCAAGAGGTCAGTGGCTATTTCAGCTGAAGTCTTATTATGAACATCACTGACATAATTTACTATCTAGTGTACCGTGGCAGGCGATGTCGATCTTCTACACAAGAAATCAAACCCGATTGTGAGTTTTGACAAAATAGTTCTCAACGAAATAATAAACTCGTAAGTCAATCTCGACGTTGATTTCAATTATTTTTTCCAGTTATACGTCGACGACCGTGTCCTCAACGACCGTACCGCACTACAAGGATATATCTACACGGCTCCTCTACCTAAAAAGTCGAAGAAAACAAGCGCCACGACTATTCTCGTTGCTAAAGAGGGAGAAGACAATTTCATGATGGGTATTCCTCAGGCTAAATTCAATCAAATTGGAATGCGTGTTTGGTGTGCGCCGCAAGGTGTTTTTTTTGTTCTCCACTGTTCATCGACGCAGGCTAAAACTCAACTCCTGCATTTCTAATTCAAATAGGTTGTACTAAAAACAATGTAACCGCTCGATGGAACAAAGATTTGCAGATCATCGACTGGCCACAGGATCTTCGGATGCCGTTTGTCAAGCCTTCTGAAAACTCTGGGACTAATACTCCTAGTAGCTCTGCTAGCGAAGGCGAGGAAGGGTCAAGCATGGCGAAGGAGAACGAGAAGCAAAGTATCTGTGATCGGCTACCAGATTGGGTGAAGGAATTGTTCACTCTACTTCCATTGATGTGAGAACGCATCGTACAAAAGCTTAGATTCAAACATTCTTTATACAAAGACATTAGGGTATATGAGTGCTCACTATTCGTATAAAAGTATAAAGTGAAAAAGGAGCCATCCCCACTTCGTTATTTCTGTTTCGAGTGCGTTCACGAAAAACGAACTATCCTCCCTGGCTGGGAGTCGAACCCAGCTTTCGCGCGACCCAGACCTATGACAGGCGCGTGTACTAACCGATATACTACCAGGGACTTGCGTAGTAGGACCTAATTCTTTTGCCTTTTCTTCATGATTTCACCCCACGAATCCATCGTCAAGTCTACGATAACCTAGCTACCACAAAGGTATCCCTGTCTCCCCCTCTCCTCCTCCCCCTCCTGTGCCAGTAAGCATAGAGTCCATCTGTGCAAGCGAAGTGGATTCGGACGTTATCACTGCCGTTGTTGTTCCATCCACCATCGACTTTGTTGAATCCATCGAACCCAATAAATCCACTACCGTCGCCTCACCCTCACGACCTATACCCATTGAAGAGGAAGTCGAGTCCATAGAGTCTGCGTGTGACAGCGATTGTGATGGTGACTTTAATCGTGATTGATGCTGGTTGGTTGACGGTTGTGGTGAATGCACTTGTGAGTGAGGTAGTGATTGCGGTTGCGATTGGAGGTTTGATACCTGCGTCGGCACCGTCAACTGCGAGTTGAGTTTTTTCCCACTCAACGACGACGGGGAAACAGGGTTTTCAGTCATTTGCGCGTTGTCACTGTTCTCGCGTTCCCGGTCGACTTTTCTCCGTTTTCGTTCGTCCGCACGGGTTTTCAGAGCCTCAATTTCTGAGGAAAGTTTTGCCTGTGATTGAAAGATGGAATGTAGTGAGAATCCGAGAATCCGAAGAAAGACGACAGACGGAAAACTGGGGGTAAAGGCTCGGGGGAAAGGCAAGCACAGACAATAAGAAATGGGGCAAGTTCTCGGCTGACGGAGGAATGCTTGATGAAGAAGTATATCAGAAGCAGAGGTGAATCAAATGAAGTATCGAATTAAACACGTAGAAACAAACGGAACATTATAAAAATGGATACACTCACTACTTTGTCATTGATTTCCTTTTTATCGTATATCGCATATGGTGAGGTTAAAGGTTTGGAGTTCGGTTGGACACCTAGAAAGAATTTATATGAGCAAGAAAGAACGACAAAAGAGAGTAGAGATGAACGAGACTCAGGGACGCTCACCAAAAGAAGCCTTCACGAAGACCTCATTCATCAGATCATGATTCCGCTTGTACCTGGTAAGAGCAAGTGTACGCGTCGATATCGAATCGACTTCGTCCCCCGAATCATCGTCATCGTGCATGCCTGTTGGACCCACCGGTCTTCTCACAGGCGGGACTCCGGTGACACTAGTACCTTGGGGAGGAATACCTCGTCCGTGAGGACCAGGAACAGGTGGACCGTGAATTCCAGGAGCACCGGGAACACCGGGAGGAGGAAGAGGACCACCACGTCCACTGAGAGAATGAGTCCTCCGAGCTTCGAGCATCTCCATGTTGACATTCTGTTGCGCGAGTAAGGCTTGGGCTTGTTGTTGATTGAAAGCAGCGGTACCGGCTCCACCAGGCATACCACCTATTGCGCCAGGCATACCTCCTGCACCTATCATTGGACCGCCGCCGATTCCAGGTTGAATACCGGGCATTCCTCCGGGCATTCCTGCTCCTATTCCGGGACCTCCACTAGGCATTCCTCCGCCCAATCCCTGACCCGGAAACGCCTTTTGACCAAGTTTATCCCCTGCAACAAACATTGGCGGCTCGTTCACTTGCCTCAGCGGATACATCCTTACTGGCTGATTAGCTACTGCCGGGGGTATAGGAGGACCGTTTGGCCCACGAGTATAGTGTACAACCCATAGTTGGGGCATTGCTCCTATGCCACTCATTCCAGTACCGTGAACTAAACGATATCTCCTCCTGATTCTCGCAGCCATCGTCTCTCCGCTGCCAGGAACCGAACCAAATTTAACTTCGCATACTTCGAGTTCTTTCGGGGTTCCTTGGTTAAGGGAGAATTTATTTTCAGGTTCATTCCAGCGGATACCGTCGCTCGGAAAGGGTGAGTGTGAAGGGAGGAAGACGATGAAAGTTTGGCCGTCTGTGAAAGTATTTGAATATTGTGTTTATAACACTTGATGCGATACAAGAGACATTCACTCACCCTGTGCACGGTCAATCCAGGACCAGACAAATGGCACCGTCACTGCCTGCTGCGCCGCTCTCAATAACAAGGTAATTGCGCCATCCAGCGATACTTGAGCGTTCATCATGATATCTGGAAATCGCAAGACGAGTCCTTCAGCTTGAAGTTGCTGGATCTCAGGGAGCGTGAAGCTAGGATTCGGCATCGCGAGCAATAGCTTTGGCGGTTGTGATTTATGAACCGAACGCAGATAGTAAGAGAAGAATGAACGATTTGGACCTAACCCTAGTCTGCCGAGGAAAGAATACCCGCTCAGAAAAGATGCAAAGTCTATATTTTGTACTACAATACTACATATGCTCTACAACACCCTATGGCTAACAAGCCCTGATATGATATTGACGGTGAAGTACTATGCATTATGTAAGTGCAATTCGCTACCATCCTACCCTATGTAGCACACTGATTCCCAGCACCACGTTATAACCACACATGTACATGCTCTGACTTTTATCACCTTGAAGCATCGTAATGGGACTACGCCCGGGAAATGCAGGCAGCAAACTTCATGACCTACCTCGTCAAATGCGAAAACGTACTTATCCTCCTATCATCCGTTTCCAAAACAAGTCCTGGGCCGCAGATTGGTAGAATGCGATACCACTTACGACTCTGTAGCAAAGCTGAATTGTCTTTTTCGATTGTTGTGAGAACAGTAAATGTTATTCAGGTATCCCTCCCCGGAAGTGAGAAATCGTGCGTTCTAATAAACAAGTTGATCAAGGTGAGAGTCCGTAGGAAGAAATCTGGTGCGCTAGAAGCATTATTGGATATTCTCTTGGAATTCAACCGCCTGAAGTGTGCGAGAGAGATGTATATAATGTAGGATTGTGATCACTCCGCGATACGGGGTACCGACGCTCCTGATGTGCTCCGAATCTTCTGCCATCTCGGAATAGATAGCGGTGTTTCGCATCAGTTCCGCAATTATTGCTCGAAGCAGAGTTGCGCTATCCAGAGCGTGGCACAGCTAGTAGATAAGACTCACCCTTCAAGATCCACCTCCAAGCATCCAGGATTTAATCATGCGCCCCGATATATGTTGTCTCTTGCAAAAACAAGAACTTCAAAGAAAGTTTCGCAAATGATTTCAAGCTTTAGTTTGACGATTTCGAGAAGCCGTTGTAGTGATATACGCGATGGCCTGCAATGCCCATTGTGATGCAGAAGAAAGATTGATTAAGGGTAGTTGGGGGCACCAATATTCATTCGTTGGGCGCTTATATGCTTCCTCAACCATGACCACCTTCTTGTACGAACTCTCGACTACTGGCGCGATTTCTTTCTCAGATTTCTTGATTGACCCATCGAATTTATTCTCAAGACGGATTTCTGAAGCTACACAGGCTCGTTCTCGACTACGAGGTACTCTGAAAGAAAGCAAACGAACAGATGACGAGAAAGATTATCTTACGATTATCAAAGTAAAATTAACTGCACAGATCTCCGAAGCAAGCTGATATTAGAAAAAGAGCATAGATGATTATCTACCTCAACTGCAGAGCATTATGGACTGTGTAGCTCACGGCGAACTAGAGCTCAAATCTGAACCTGGTCCGCCAACAATTGATCCCCATTGTACTTACCCCAATTGAACCAAAAGTTTATAGTTGGAGAACAACTCTTTCTGCTAGTTTTCTGAACAATTCTCCCCGGCTTGATCTGCGATCCTTTCATGCAGAACACGCTTGTAGCCTTCTTACTTATGCTTTCGCGCTTTCGAATCTTGCACGAAACATTGTAGCCGGTCTTGGACTGTATGAGCGCGATCGGGCGATATCACAGGCAGAAAGGGAAACCAAAGAAGAAAAGTTGAAACATGCGACTAGTCATCTGTGTCGTGCCTCTGGGATTTTCTCGTATCTCAGCGAAACAGTATTGCCCGGGCTGCAAACATCAGCTTCTACATCCAAGTCCAAACTCCCGCCAGACCTTTTACCAGAAGTCAATATAGCTTTAGCAAAGTGAGAAAAAATATTGTTATCATTCCGATTTAGTGTGCTGAAAAGAAAAAAAATCTCTAGAATGTCTCTAGCAGATGCACAAACTCTAGCTATCCGAAAACTACTGTCTAAATCTTTCTATGATTCTAACATTACTCCCGGACCTCCACTTCCCAAATCACACCCCGCTCCCGGTCTCATCGCGAAACTCCATTCGGAATGTGCCTCGCTGTACTCCAACGCCCGAACTCTCGCTAAAACGCCATCGGCGTCATCCAAATCTTCGGACGATGTATCCCAAGAACTACGACACTATCTTGCCGATGAAGCCTCTTTGCATTCCGCTCTTGCTAAGAAATGGCTTGGTATCGACGCTGGAGAGAACGGCGGTGAGAAGAGGTGTGGTGATGCTGTTGCCTTTCTGATTTGGGGGAAGAAAGAGCTTCAGGAGCTAAAAGACGGCGGCAAGGGGATCGGTCTTACAAAGGGAGATAAAGAGAAGAGAGATCGTAATCTGAGAAAAGAAAAAGTTGCACTAGAGTCAGAAACAATCGATGTTTGGTTGAAGCATTATAAGAGAGTTAATGATACAGTGCGTATTCGTCGTCTCTCGTCTCTTACGGTTCTTGTTCATGAACTTATCTATGCAGGTACACTTTCAACCTATCCCATCTCAAGCCGATCTGCAGTCCCGCATTCCTAGTGGTGTCTCAGCAGTTTTCGCAACCCCGTATGTTACGCCAAAGCCTGCGTTTGGACCACGCTCAGATGCTCGGGTGCAGAAAGAACAAGAAGTTCTAGATCAGGAAGATTCATTGACTGTATCTCGAGTTGTGGCTGCAACAAGTTCGAGCACATATGCCGGGGTGGGAGAATACTATTGAAACCCTGAATATCACGTCGTTTTACTGTGTGAGCGTTCGAATATCCAATTCTATGCTAACGCCATTATGCTGATTGCGAACAGTTTTGCTTACTTCTTTCTGATTCGATTGTCTGTAATTATACCAAACTATCTATTTCATCTGCGACACATGTGTGCGTGTTCAA